TACCCAGAAATATCAGTAACACTAGAAGAAGAGAAAACCGACCTTCCTTTTGAGAATATCAATCAACCATTCACTGCTGAAGTCACTTTCCTTGCTGAAGAAGGTTATGCGCAGCAGAGAGAGACGAGTTGTGGTGTTTCTGATCTAGGGCGAACCAGTTCTCTCCATTGATTGACCAGAAACGAAGGAGAAGAGTCACGAACACTGCTGAGGCGCTTTACCAACTGAAGTAGGTCAGAAGCATGGCTCTGATACCATGTTTCGACTGGTGCTACAGTAGTCCGAACCAGAAAGAGAAGAAGAAGAAGAAGAAGAGAGAAGAAGAAGAAGGGTCTGTCGAAATCTGATGGGTTACCCCTTCAGTTGACCCCCTTAATCTATATTAGACTCTAATAATTTTTACAAAGACAAAAATGCCCTTACTTAAGTGTGGGGCAGAGTAACTCTAATAACATTGCCACATAAGCAAGATACTTAACAAACATAAGAAGACTAAACTACCCCTATTCGGCACACTTTAACATCTCTCTTAGTTCTTCTTTCTCTTCTCTCTCATGCTTCTTCTATTCTTCTCTTTCACTCTAGGACTAAAACTAGTGTAGATCGAATCAATAAGGTAAAAGATTTTGGCATGAGATAGTGTCAGGTTGATCATTCAGTATTCAACTATGATTTGGATGCCAGGAAGATTTTATTGGTGGCATATGTAGATGGCATTGTTATAATTGGCAGTGGTAGGATGGGGATTGACAGACTGAAGGCCTTTTTGCAATGATAACTTCCAAACAAAAGATCTTGGTAAACTAAAGTATTTGTTGGAAATAGAGGTAGCAGAGTCAAAGCATGATATTAATTCGTGCCAAAGGAAGTGTGTTCTTGACTTGCTAGAGGGGACAACATTGTTGGCTGTCAAGCCAACTGAAACACCCATGGAGCCAAATGTCAAATTAAATGCTGAAGCGGGTGAGGAATTTGAGGATCCTGGGGCTGGGTGGGAGGTACATGAGGTTAGTGAGGAAGTTAAATTATTTGACTATTACTCGATTGGATATATTATTTGCAGTTAGTTTGGTAAGATAGTTTATGTGGAATCCTCAGGTTCCATATTGGAATGCAGTTTTAAGAATTGTGTGATACTTGAAAGGAGCTCTATGTCATGATTTGTTATACAACACTGGAGGAAGTCTTGAGATAGAAGGCTAGTAGGTGCTGATCGGACTGGCTCAATATTTGATAGAAGATCCACTACAGGATATTTGTATATTTCTTTGAGGGAATTTGTTAACATGGAAGAGCAAGAAGCTAACTCTAGTAGCATGGAGCAGTGCTGAAGCTGAATATAGAACCATGACATGCATTGCATGTGAATTAGTATGGTTAAAGAATCCCTTGCAGGAGATTGAGTACTCAGTTGACAGCCCTATGAAATTGTATTGCGACAACCAAGCTGCAGTCCACATCTCCTCTAATCCAGTTTTCCATGAAAGAACAGAATACAAAGGTTGATTGCCACTTTGTAAGAGAAAAGGTGCTTAGTGGAGTGATAAATACTGCACATGTGAACACAGGAAGTCGGTGGGCAGATTTGTTTACCAAAGGGTTGAGTCGGGGAAGAGTGGATTACATATGTAGCAAGCTGGGACTATATGACATATAGTCACCAATTTGAGGGGGGAGTGTTAGAGTTGACTGTCAAAGGATAGTTTGATCCTTTTGTTTTACTTTAATTGATTAGTGTTACGTGTTTTATATCTCACCTAAGTTTCATTTCCCATACTTAATTAGGGGCATAACTGTCATTGTACTTCATATTAGAAACATATTAATACAACCTGGTTGACTAGAGAGAACTGATTTGAATCCTCTAGATCGAACCGAGGGTTCTCTCTCTCTATCTCTCTCTCTCTCTCGCTCGCTCACACGCTTCTTCTATTCTTCTTCTCTTTCATTCTAGGACTGAAACCAGTGCAGATCAAATCAATAACAATCTTCTTCATGCAAAACTTTTATAGCTGGGAGGGAGGTGGACATGCAGAGAAGCACATTGAAATTCAAGCCACTGTCTCTTCCCTTCTAATATCTGAAGACTCAATTCTGCATGCAAAAAATGTCACATTAATCATCAGATCTAATGATTGTAGACAAATTGTGAAATCAAGAGTGAAAATTATTTATGAAACAAAACCCTAACTATGAATTTAACGGCAACATGAATAGGATTTAAGTACTTGCAAATTGGGGAAAACACGAAAGGAGAAAGAACAAATAGTGAGCGAAGAAAATCTGAAACAAAAAATCCCTATGGTGCCTCTATTTGCATGATTTTGTTTTTAGAGCAAGGCAGAGGGGCAGAAATGGTACAGAAAAAGTGAGAGGTGACAAAGAGACAGAGGATGTGAAGGACATTAGCCAAAGAAGGAGGGGAGAGAGAGAGGAACTTTGAAATTGAGAGAGGTGCCATTAGAAGGTTAGTTCTGCTTTCTGTAACTGAAAATAATAGGAGAGTCAAGCTGATCTGGTTATCCATCCTAGTGGCAATCATTTAGATAATTGGATATAGTGCAACCAACATGTGTTCCATAAGGTGTGCCAGAGTGATGAGTTGATAAGACAATTTTTTTGTCTGCTTTTCTTTTTTGGTTTTTCTTACAGCTTCTTCTCATTGTGTAGAAGCTTCCTATAGTTGTACATATTTTGGTCTCTGCTGTTGTAGTAATGAAATTCTTACATTAACTTTTCAAAAAAAAATAAAAAATCCTGAAATTGCAGATCTACTCCCTTTAGTTCCCTTGATGATTAATGACTTGTTATCTTCTTCCTTTAGTCTCTATTCCAGGTTCAAGGTAGTTTTATCCTATGCTGCATGTTCACTTGTTGCCAAGGTTCAAAGTATTGATATAATATGCTCTGTATCGTTCTTGAAGGTCTCCAATACACCTTTTTTAAGGATTTTCCAAAAAGCACAGCTTTGTTTTATTTATTAATTTATTTTGCCTCATAAGGCTACACAACAGGGGGTAGCCCATCTCCCATCCCCTTAATATTCCACCCCCCCCCAAAAAAAAAATAAAAAAAAATAAAAATCCAGGTCTCTGCTACAACGATTCAGAGATCCTACCAACTGAGTGGTGCATGGTTTTAAATGTTAAACAACATTAATATCGCCTCTGGTCAAAATGTGAAAAAAATTTTTGATACACCCAAAGCACCCAATACGTATGTTCGTGTTTATTGGGTGTATTGATACTTTGAACCCCGATTGTTGCAAACCTGAATGGTTGAAATAAACACATGGAACTTTACATAATTGCCACTAGGTGTGAGGCTTGGCTGAATCAAGGGAATGAGCTGAGTTGATATCATGAATTGACCATCTTATGGAAAGGAGTCAATACCATGACTCAGGTCCTCAGGCTTAGGAGTTGAATCAACTTTGCTGTAGTCTCTCCCAGTTGAGTCTTGAGTCCACAACCTATGGTCTATACAGACTCCACTTTGACCATTGACACAATTTTCAATATTAATGAAAATGAGAAAAAAAAGAATAAAAACTAGTCAGCAGCATACTAAAAAGAGTTCATGTCTGTTGTGACACAGTAAAAGCACTTCCTTGCAATCCCCAATTAAATATTTAAAAAGTAGGTCATTTGATGTTTTGAATTTTGACAAAGGGCTGGCATGCCCGTGTCTAATTTGGCGGGGGGGGGGGGGGGGTTGCAAGGAAGTGCTGCAACCATGGTCACAGCTGATGCAATCTCTACTGAAAGTTTAGTGGATGCTTGAAGGGCCACTATACAATATTGGTCCAGGCTCTTGGGAGGGGTAGGTTGGATTTGGATATGGACCTAACCTTCAGCCTTTTCTTGCATGAAATGGCTGCTCTCAAACTAGAACCTACTTTCTCATGGTTGTCTGTCTTTGAGGTTTTGTCATTGCACCAAACAGTGACCCATTTAGTGGATGCTTGAAGATCTGACAAAAGGTTATCTTCTAACAAGGTATCACTTTGAAATTATATAGAACTTTCAACTTGTGTGAATTTACTCGTATAACCTTTCTTGGGCTGGTAACTGCACTTTATTGAAGACAAGGAATTGAAAATGTCAAGCTTTGGCAATAAGGGTAAGGCAAGCAATACAGACCTCAATTAGGAGAAACAAACCTCGATAAAACAAGCAAAAATACAACAAAAACAAAATACAGAATGACTCGTGTCATCTTCTTCCATCTTCCTTAGCTTGGTAACTGAAATGAGATAAAAAACCTTTTGGAGCATTGCATGGCATCCCCTGGTTTCTTTGTATACATGCTATGCAAGAAAACCATAAGTGAAAATTTTAAGTGCCATTACGCCATCTGTTTGTGCTTTTTATAAGTCCAAATTAAAGGACAAAGTTATTGTTCTGGGTAAATTATATTTCGGCTGACACTTAGGTTTCCCTACCTTTTCTTTTAAACCAAACACAGCCTTATGTTACTTAGGAATCACGACACAACATCGCATGTAAAAGAAACTTCAAAATTAAAAGGTAAAAGAAGGGGTGGAAGTTATCCGAGGTAGCTCCTAATGTGCCATCCAATATTATATAGACAGGCATCAAGCTGAACATGCTTCTGCCTTCTGCATATGGTATCACAATTCTTCAGTTTTTAGCATTCAGTAAAATATATATTTGATGCAAAATCATTGTTTCATGCATTTTTACTTTGAGTTCAAACCGTATTATTTGTGATCATTCTCTAGAAGTTTCTCTAATTGTATACATTTGAATGAATTGCAGCTTGAAATAATGACATCATAAAGTATGATAAAGTTTCATCTTGTGCTCTTGAACGCTATCTTTCTGCTTCATCTTTATATTCTGCCTTTTGCTCTTTTAGAGATCATTTCTGGACATATTCCAATATAGCCTTTCTTAAGATCTTGCAAGAAGGTAGCTGATAGCATTATCCTGTGATGTTGAGGTGATATTAATTATTAAGTTTTGAAGCCAATTCAGGTCAGGCTCATGCATGAGGCAGGTTATGAACTTGGAAACTTGGATGCAACTCTCATTCTGCAGAGACCAAAGCTGAGCCCGCACAAAGAAGCTATTAAGGCCAACTTGTCTGAGCTGCTCGGAGCAGATCCTTCTGTCGTTAACCTCAAAGCAAAAACTCATGAAAAGGTTGACAGCCTTGGGGAAAACCGAAGTATTGCAGCACATACTGTGGTTCTTCTAATGAGAAAGTGAAGGAATCTAATCCTAAATTTTTCACACGGATGAGAATTTTAAGTTACTGTCATTATTATGCTGTTTACAAAGATCACATTGCTTTGTCCTCTGAATAGATGGTTGAGGATGTACCAACCACTGTAATGTGCTCAATTTTCAAGATGATGTAGGTCAGTTGGTATAGAATATGCATCAAAATGGGTTGCTTCTACCTGGATGAGAAACTTAAACCTGCTCTGCAATTGTCCTCTTTAACTTCGAACAGCTGTCTGTCTCCAAATTTCCTGTGAACTTCAACCACACGAATTTGTACTAGGGCTGCAAGGTTGGCTGTCTGAGGAATTTCAACTACATCGGGCTTAGGTTAGGGTTAAGTTCCATTGACAATTTAACAAATTCCCAGCCCAACCTGGCCCAAGTTGAACACCTAATTTTTAGAAGGTAATAATAACAATACTCTTTTGAATCCTTATTTTTCTTTGTGGGACAATTGAAACTTTTCGGGCTTTGATAAATAATCATGGTGAGAAGAAATTTCACACTTTAACTGTTTAACAAAGACGTTAGACAGAATCAGAAATGAGCACATTAGAGAGGATATAAGAATGTCTCTAATTGGTGACAATATGTGGTAAAGTTGATAGATTTGTTTTTTCATGCGCATCGACAATTAACGACTGCGCTGGTAAGGTGGGAATTGGTACAAGCAGAAAAACCTAAAATGAACATAAGGTAGACCAAAAAAATTGTGGATTGAAGTGGAGAAAAAATGATTTAAGGCTCATCATTTGACAGAGACCTTGATAGAACAAAATGGTGGGACAGGATTCGTGTTAACTGGCCCCCAAAATGGTGGGACAGGATTCGTGTTAACTGGCCCCCAAATTGTAATTAAGTTATAATTATCTAATAGAGATGTTTTCAGAGAGAGAGAGAGATGTAAATAGTTAAAAATCAATTAGGCTGACCAATAATAATGGGTTATCATGGACGTGAAAAGAAGTGTAGACTTGGAGTCTCCTATTGGACTCCAAATTGAGGGGTATCCCAGCTTGTGTGTTAAGATGAATTGTCCTGGCGGTGGTGGAATTCTGTTATTATTATCTTTATAAAAAAGATAATTGTGTGATTAATTGAAGTTGATGTGATGTTGTACTGTATACTTAAAATGAGTTACTACCCCTATGAATATTGAATTTTTAATTGCAAAAAGAAGATAAGTCCTTAAAATAATGTCAAATGCAGCCTAAATATCCTATCACATAATACACTTGTACTCCTTACTTCACCTAAAAATTCTTGATTTTTATTTTTAAATCTCATAGTAGAACCATTTTGGTTGCAATTGGTAAGTTTTTTGTTTCAAAATTTAGATGTTTTTTGATGGTCGACAGCAAAAATGCCCGTCATAGACCCATTAGTAATTACTCATAAACTTAATGTGAACTCTTTAATCACACCAATCAGGCAAAGGAACATGAACCTCACCCTAGAAAGGTGGAGGGTAGTAGATGAGGAGATCGGGAAGTTCATTGCAGTAAACTTCATTAGAGAGGTCCAGTACCCGAACTGGGTAGCCAATCCAGTGCTCGAGGAAAAAACCAATGGCAAGTGGCATATGTGCGTTGATTACACCGACCCCAACAGAGCTTGCCCAAAGGACAGTTTCCTGTTCCCCAGAATAGATTACTTGGTAGATGCAACATCGAGGCACGAGTTGCTGAGCTTCATGGACGCCTAATCCGGCAACAACCAAATTCGAATGGACCCAAAAGACGAGGAGAAAACTACTTTTGTATCTGAGCTCGGGTTATACTATTATAAAGTAATGCCCTTTGGACTGAAAAACGCTGAAACAACTTTCTAGTAACTTGTAAACATGATTTTTTTCTCCATTAATTGGAAATAAAATTAAGTATTTTGTTGATGACATGGTCATGAAGAAAATTTTCAAACTCTTTAGTTAATGATTTAAATGCCGTTTTCCAAATTCTAAGAAAATTTAACATGAAGCTCAACTTGAACAAGTGTGTCTTCAGGGTCACGTCGAGCAAATTCCATAGCTACATAGTGCACCAACGTGGCATCGAATTCAACCTGGATAAAATCCAGACAATCTTAGACGTGAGACCACCTAGGTCAATAAAAGAGGTGTAAAAATTAATAGGCCGGATTGCCATCCTGAATTGGTTTATGTTTAAGTTGGTTGGGCGGTTCCTATCATTTTTTAAAGCAATAAGAAAGAACGAAGACTTCTAGTGGACCGAGGAGTGTCAAATCGAGTTAGACGAGCTCAAAAGGTACCTCAATTCACCTTCACTCTTGACCCGATCAGAACCCGGAGACGAGTTGAAACTCTACCTCTCTACGAATGACGAGGTAGTGAGCTCGATACTAGTACGAGAAGTAGACAGGGTGCAACAAACCATCTACTATATAGTCAAAGCTCTACATGCAGCTGAAACCAGGTACCCCAATATAGAGAAGCTGGCCTTCGCCTTAGTTCTGGCAGCTTGGAAGTTATGCCCCTACTTCCAAGCCCATACTACCATAATCATAACCTACCGACCTCTGAGGGGTAATTTGGCCTGACCCATTGACTTGGTGACACTTCAGCAGTCCTAGTCACCTCGGGTCACTCAGCCAAGACCGGGCCCCAAGCAGTTTGCCACACTCACCGACTTGTCAAGGTGCCGCATAGTCTCCTTCTAGAAGCGAGCTAGCTATCTCCAATCTCCTTGAGATCACGCCGTGTGCCAATGGACCTTATCTACATCCTGTACGATATGGGTAGACCTGGATAAGCCTTATCAACTTACTCGGAGTCCATCTTCGGGGGTGGAACTGACTCCAGGTTAGACAAGTCGGTGATCTCGGGCATGCATCATGAGGCCTACAACAACTCGTCTATATAAAGGCTTTGCCTCCAATCTCATAAGGTACACGCGATTTAGCTCTCGCAATCTACTGTTCTTTAAGCTATCAACTCTTTCAAAAACCTCCTTCGCTAACTTAAGCATTAGAATGCCTACATCAGATAAAGTACCCCAGGAGCTCTGATCCTCTTGTCTTGCAGTTCGACCCAGCTACGTAGTAGTCCGACATTCGAGCTGCCTTCTAGAAGGGAGCGACCAGAACGCACATCATTAGTAGTGTAAATATGGGGTTATATATGTGTTCAAATTTTCTATAATTTTTTATTTCTATGTGTGTAAAAATAGTATTGTTATTTACACTTATTTTTTATTTAATATGTTAAATATATGATATTATACATGTGGCCAAATGTTTTTTTTGTAAAATTTATGTATTTTTTATTTTTGTGTTTTTATATTTTATTATTTAATTATGACATTAAATGTTGATAGATTTAACCCAAAAGTTGAAATTTTGATCTCTGCTAAATAGGAAAATAATTTCATTTTTTGTTAGTTTTAGATTATATATTTCATTTTCATCATCAATAAAAATAATTCTTGTTTATTACACTTGTTTTTTTTTAATTTAATTAATACAAAATATCATAAATGTGTCTACTTTTTCTACATTTTTGTAATTTTCTATATTTATTTCTATTCAAAAATTTTATTAACTAACTATTTGGCCAATTTGATTTGAATAGTTAAATTACTTAGTCATCACTTGGATAAATAATGATTTTGTTTTTGAGTAAGTTTTAAAATATATTGATTTATATTGTTTCTAATCAGTAGCATTTATTAGTGAAAAATTAACTTAAATATGGGATTAAATAAGAGAGAATGGGAGTTTACATGAATTAATGAGAAAGGATTAAATGAGGTGAAAAACATTAATTGAAATTACATTTTCAACCTTCATAATTAGAGATGGACTAAATAACAAATGTGGACATTTTAGTCAAGAAAAGTTCCACACCCTCATTCATACTTTTTATAATAATATAGATTTTGGTGTGATTTCTAATATGATTTTGACCATTCTATTGATATGTAATGTAAGAAAATCAAATCAAAACTGTAATTCAAAAGAGTCTCAAACCATACTAAACCATTTATATGTCCAGACCGAACCAAACCACAAATTTCATTTTGATTCTGTTTGATATGGTTTGGACTATATATATGAACTCCTAGTTTAAATATTCTCTCACTAGCTATTCATTCTTGAATTTCTCCTTACCAAAATAAAAAAAAAGATATATGCATAAATTGACCAACATCCTATTTTCTTGTACATCTAAATTTGTTGACTTTTTTTTTTTGTAAGGCATGAATTTCCTTTTACCAAAAAGAAATTCAATAATACGTAAGACATGATATCATCAGAGCAATCAGTTTATTCTTTTCATATTAACTCACAATTCTAAAACGCTATTAGAAACTTGCACAATAGTAGATGACACTGCAAAAAGATTTGTTAGATTTTTCTTTTTTTTTTGTCGTTTTTCCTGAAATTTTTTTGATCTTCCTCACCCACTTCATAGAATACAATGGGAATGCACTTCAGTCATGGTCTAACCCAAAGTGCTTCATACCCTACCTTGAATAATGAACTAAATTCTACCCAATGATTTCAACAAATATGATCAAAAGTATAAATTTAATTAGATTTAAAGGACAATTTGTACTTCAAAGAATTCCTATTCAAACTATTACACAAAACATTTAGCAAGAGACCACCAAAAGCCAACCATTGGACAATAATACTGTCAAAATATCACTCTTGTAGTGAACAAAATAAAAAACATGAGGACCATAAGGGGTACAGCTTGGGTCAGGTCCAGTCTTATTGTTAAATATAAAAGTTTAAGTTATTAGGTGAGGTCTTTGATTAAGTTTTTATTCTTGAAGATGCCCCCTCAAGTAAAAGTTCATCATACCTTGAATCGAAATTTTATTAATTATAACAGGGTGATGAGGATCAAACACTAGACCATTTGGTCAAATAGGTTCTAATACCATATCCAATGGTCTAGTATTTGATTAATAAATATGCTCTAATATCATATTAAATAACTGTTTCTAGCAAAAAGTTAAAGTTATTAGGTGATGTCCTTAAATAAGTTTTTATTATCTGAAATGGGCATTTGTTAAACTTCTAATGGACCCCATACTTAACTCGAACCAATGAAGTTCAAGTTATTTAATCAGGGCATCAAGATGAGCAACCCAACTTGCACCTTTGGAGCCCCAGTACCATACATGATACATCACCATTCACCACAGTAGAATTGGCCTGTTATCGCTCATC